CCGGCCGTGTGTCTGCTTGCCTCGGGCGGTTTACTTGTCATGTTTATCTACGTCTAAAATAAACCTTATATGGGTAAATAACCAAAGCAAGGCATCATTGACGTCTTGGCTACTTTAGCACCACAACACGTGCTCACATAAACATAAGAAACTGTACTAAGTATTGTTTACCATTAAATGAATTTCATCGATCAATTTCATTCTCGTTGTTATTAACTACGATAACACGTCTTCTTGATGTCCAGAAAATATATAGAATTTTCGTGCCTCAACTCTTTGTCAGGACACAACAACGTTACGGATCTTTTGACTCATTTTACTAAAGTTAACAAAAGTAAAATACAGCAAAAGAAAAAATAGTCAATACTTTTAGCTCTATATCAGTGTTGCCTATCATTTCCCGCCATATTTCAGGGTAGCAATAACCATAAAACACAAACTATTAGCTACAAGCACTACAACACCCACTGGACGCCATACTCCCCTGCTATCAACGTACTCTTAACATAGTCAACAATATTATGAACATCCACTTCAGGCAGCCTCCAGCTTCAAGGAACATCTGCCATGGACACGCCGGGAGCCAGTGTGGGGTCAGCCTCGGCACTCATGTCATCCGCTCCAGGAAATACCCAATTACGGAGAAATGCAAATATTCCAGATGAACTTAAACCAGAAAACTGGCGAGTATTACTGGCGGGATAATGTTGTTCTTTTTACCTCTGTACAGTGTGACCAGTTATTCCAGTGAAGGCTTTATATATATACTGTACAGGATGTTGTCAACTGAGCACAACATGCAGGGTCAGGCAGGAGCCACTAAGAACAGGTTGGTAGCCGAAGAATGCAGTTTTACGAGTATAGAAGTCGCCAAGAATTTATCTCCTGATATATGTGTTTTGCATAAACATGGACACGCTTGCCCCAAGTTAATACACCGTGAGGGTAACTCAGCACTACAACTGTATTTCCTTCATATTTATATCATCAAAGTATAGTAAGATCATAAAACTCATCATGTGGTAGATGAACACTGGTTGGCAGAGGCTTAGTTGTACTCAAGCAGAGGTCAGTGACCACATGGAGGTTACGTTACCAACATACGTCAGCTCAGGTAATTCAAGATGAGAGAACCTGCCACAGGGGGTCGCGGTGAAATGCTGGAATTTAGCCGGGGTACACAGGCCCAGCCTAAGCACAGGGACGGTAGGGGCCAAATATTAAGTTACAGTTACTAAAAATCTTCTCTACAAATTAAATGCACAGAAAACTACTAAATACTACAAGTATATAAGTACCGTACAACGAACCCTGAGAATCTTACACAGTATAAGTAGTAAACATTATGAAACAAGGGTGAGAAAGGATTGGTCACAACAGGCGAGGCTGATAGCACAGTACGCCCTGAGTGTGTAACGAGGCGTCTTTTAAACAAAAAACTCACTTGTGCTGAAAAACATCAGTCATGTCAGGAAGGAAGGACGCAGACAAGAAAGCGAATATATACAACAAGGTATAATAATCATACCATAACAGTACGTCATTATACCGCCGCCTCCACCACCACTAAGACGCACCATGTTCCAGATATAGATTGCACTTGTCTTAGTTGTTCTCTTGCTTATACGGTCACTCCAATAACTCGGGGAAGCACAGTACAGTAGAGTCAGTCGGCCACTCTTCACTAGGCTAAACGAACACAGGACATTAACACAGTATAAACAAACAATCATCTAAGACATTATAGATTATTGCTCCCAGTTTATTTCACCTGATGATTAACACCCTAAACGCTACCTGGGCGAAGGGAGGTAAGAGTATTTAATCATCAGATGAAATAAACTAGGATGTCTAATCTTCAGATGATCCAAATAAACTACCGATCTAGAAACCTTCAGGAAATAGGAAGAAATCTTGTCAAAACCCTGAACCTTTCACGACAACGTATTAGGAAGCCGAACACACACACACACACACACCACTACTTAACTCTCCCTCACCACCATGACACACACAAGATATGAACCATATTCCCACACTAACAACACACAGAAAGCCCCCACAATGACAGGAGGGCAAGGAGACACTCTGACCTTGATGTAAACAAACATACTCCCCAGGTGCTTGACCCGACCTTAAACTTCACGCCTGAGCAACAGCAACCTTCCCCCTCTCCGCTGTACACACCCACCCTGCCTCCCGGAACCCTCGCTGACATGGACATACACAAACCTACCTACAGTACACGGCTACACCCACACGACAGAGAGCGTGTGACTGTAAATGTATCTTTGGGAATAAAAACAAACACATACACACACACACACAAGGTCACAAAAGCGCGCGCACGTAGACCCAGAAAAGCACAGGTGTAAATAATTGGAATTGTAAAAGAGTCGGACTCACAGCTGAATATTTAACTGGATTCCCAAATATAACTCTAGAGCACTTGACAAGAGCCGCCTCCACTTGGCATAGTCTGTGTAAGTCGCGTCATCACCAGTGTATACGACCACAACACCGGACACTAAAAAAGTATTAGTATTCTCAGCTTCCATAACTAATACACAATTAGCTATAACCTCTCAAGAAATAATTCACCTTGACAGCCCGTCTCCGACCTTGCTGATAACGTCGACTATCTACCTTCTGTTAGGTGGTCAAATACTAGTGATGGAAAGGCACTGTGTATGATCCCGAGACGACCCAACGTAAAGCCACCAGTGATACATGAAACACAATACTTCAATTATAAAAAAAAGTCAATCACGGTGGCCTCCTCACGCCCCAGGGTTGATGACCATGGCCATTCACTCAACTGAATTGAACGTCTCGATACACTTAAAACCTTTCCTTCCCTCCACTCAAGGAGAACAATTATTATTATAAGATTGAAAGTTTAAAATATCGTCCTGGCATTTACCAGGTGTCACCCACATTCCTGCCTGCCTGCCACTTGAGAAGTCATCTGTCACTCGAGGCGGAAGACAATAACCTAAGTGGCACAAGTCCATCTAGTTTCAACCTTTATATTTGAGTAACCAAAGCCTGCAACTCCCTTCCTGAACAAGTTTGTAGTGCTCCACCATTAAACAACTCCAAGAATATATGAGATAAAGTTACAACAAATTACATACTTTCTAAATGAGATCAAGGTTTAGTCCAGAACTGAACACACACAATCCTAATCCTAGTCCACAAATACCAGCAAAATCTCAACTGGTTTGTCTGAGGAAAAGCCAACAAGACTACAGTACTTTACCTCATAAGAGACTGTGTGAAGTACAAGTGCAAAGTGAAGAGGAACAAACCAGTTATCGACCAGCTTGGAGGGACTTGAGACTCGACTAGCAAAGACTCACTTCCACCAGTGAATCGTATGAATAAACTACTGACGGGTTCATGGGTCATATTAAGGGATCTATGGTGACATGATACTTATGTTGAGTCAATACTTGTACAGTAGACGCCCATACATAGTCTTTAACGTAATCATTAATTAAAATAAAAGAAATCGGCTAGGTTGAGGGTAAAAATATCGCGCTTCAACTCTGGCGAATTTCTACACAGGTTTGGGATTTGTTATAAATGTCCACAACACACACGACGACAGTTTATTAACAGTTTATTAATTCCTCATGTATTTTTCTGAGGTCAAACATGTATGGTACCACCTCTGAACGACCCGTGAACCAAGGCCAGGTGGAGTATAGTTTGGCAAGGATGGGTCAGGCGGAGGAGCACCTGTAACAAAGGAATGAATGACCTTGTACAGACTTCCGCTACCCACCACCACACTACCAGGTGATACCAGGCACAATTGGCGCCACCACACAAAACTCCCATTGATATTAATAAAAAACATACATCACTAGCTTAACTGACTGGGGCAAATAAGTGTTACACTAGCTTACCTGACTGGGGCAAATAAGTGTTACACTAGCTTACCTGACTGGGGCAAATAAGTGTTACACTAGCTTACCTGACTGGGGCAAATAAGTGTTATTATATGTACTTCTCATCAATTGGTTACCGTACAGATTTTCACAAGGGAAAATGCCTGCAGCTGTCAACCTTCAAAACACAATAGGACAAATTATTACAGGAAGAGACAGAACGTGGAAATGGTAGTCGGGGGACAATGTGACTGAAACTGTCATCTGGAACAAAATGTCCAACTTCCTGTCAGACAACAGAAATGCCAAATGTTGTCTGAAACTTTAAGATATTCATCGATGAACAACCAGGGTCTTGGTCTGTGTGTGAGGGTGATTATATATAACTCAAGGTACAGTATGTTGGAATAAATGGGGCCCCTCCGCTTTATATTTTGTAAACAATGTGAGTTTGTGTACGGACGGTATTCATTGTTTATCTACGTCTAACGGTGATCCAGCTGGACCTGCCAAACAACAATAGGCTCCACCACAGCTGTCAACAAATATACGAGGTCGGATTGTTACCAGATAAATGAGGTTGGTTTGAAAAAATAAACAACAACGGGGTCTGTCAAAGGATGGGCAACATATTTAAAACTGCCTCACTCGACAACTCATCATATTTACATGTTAATCAATGTACCATAATATCACTACACGAAGTTTCAATTTATCAGTATAATAATTATCATGAGACAAAGCACACTGCCATTTTCTCAACTTCAAATGACAAAGGCATTGTCACACAGCTACACATAGTACAACAAAATGAGATCAGGAATCCCTGCATTGAAGAATTCCTGAGAAAGTGATGTGAAAGCTGACGGAGAAAGCCTCCCGTACATTCCTGCCAATTACTAAAAAACACAAACATGTATTCCTGTCATTATAGTATTGTACCATACTGGACTACAGAAACTCTTGAAACTCAACACATGTCCGTGTGTCACATCAGGACGGTGGGGAAGTGAGACAGTGTTACACAGAACAGCTTTGAAAGATCTGACGTTACAAACTGATTTTGGCGTAAAGTTTCTTTTAAACGGAACATATGCAACTCACCTTATTAGTATACGGAGTTAATATCCAACACGCCCAATAAAAGTACTGATTCCGGATAAAAGGAACCCCTTCAACACAATAAACACCAAGTTTGGAGTTGACTTATCGAATGAATCACAGAGAGCGAGAGCGCACACCCTCCACCACCAACGTCAAGCTCTATACTGGCGGTGGCGGCGCTTCCACCAGCACCAATGAGTCGACCCAAACGTAAACATTCCGATGGCTGGGCTAGTTGGTGGGTTGGGAGGGGAGGGGTGGGGTGGGGAGGGGACAAGGGGAGTGGGTGGAACAGGAAACGCTGAATAACAATGCCATATTAAAAATACTTTCCTAGTTTTCTTTTTTATATAAATTCCGTTCTTAATATGGAGTAACAAAACGAGTTGACTGTGATATAAGTCAGTCTGTGGTGCTGATACTCGACAACAAACACGTGAGTGAAATCGTACTGACAAGTCTCTCTCCCCACTGCCATGAACAACTACGACGTGAAAATCGGAGAAATCAAATTATTATAAGACGGGGCCCCGGCGGTAATTTCACCCAACACCTTCCAGCCCAGATTCTCGTAACTGTAGAAGATGAAACACACTGTAGATGAAACACACTGTAGATGAAACACACTGTAGAAGATGAAACACACTGTAGATGAAACACACTGTAGAAGATGAAACACACTGTAGAAGATGAAACACACTGTAGATGAAACACACTGTAGATGAAACACACTGTAGAAGATGAAACACACTGTAGAAGATGAAACACACTGTAGAAGATGAAACACACTGTAGAAGATGAAACACACTGTAGAAGATGAAACACACTGTAGAAGATGAAACACACTGTAGAAGATGAAACACACTGTAGAAGATGAAACACACTGTAGAAGATGAAACACACTGTAGAAGATGAAACACACTGTAGAAGATGAAACACACTGTAGAAGATGAAACACACTGTAGAAGATGAAACACACTGTAGAAGATGAAACACACTGTAGAAGATGAAACACACTGTAGAAGATGAAACACACTGTAGAAGATGAAACACACTGTAGAAGATGAAACACACTGTAGAAGATGAAACACACTGTAGAAGATGAAACACACTGTAGAAGATGAAACACACAAGACCACTATAAATCACCACGGATTTGTAGATTACGGTCGAAATACACTTTACAGATATACCCAATTGTGTGTTATATTTTCTACAGTGAGATAGTAGTGATATTTATTTTAAGGGGAATTAGCCCACCATTTCTCTTCAGTTACCTGTATAGAAGATTACATACGGGAATGATGTATAGTTCTGTAGTCACTGTGTGGTTTGAATGCTATTTCGAGTGCTAGTTTGGTGCATTGGTTTGTGTCAATATATTAAATGCATTCTTAAATCCTCTTACGGGAGAAATATTCATCTTACGAGCTTTTGTATATCAAGACTCTGAGGAACAGATATTGTAAATAGTCTCCAGCCATCACCACCCAACTGCCAGCCACAAATGGAAGCCTTTATATACTACAGATTGTTAAAGGAAACTATAACATACACAGCGGAGGAGGAAGTAAGGGGACACTACAAAACACCACACCACACCACACCACGAAACACCACACCACACCACACTAAACACCACACCACACAAAACAACACACCACACCACAAAACACCACACCACGAAACACCATACCACACAAAACACCATACCACACCACAAAACACCACACCACACCACAAAACACCACACCACACAAAACACCACACCACACAAAACACCACACCACGAAACACCACACCACACAAAACACCACACCACGAAACACCACACCACAAAACAAAACACATCACACCACACCACAAAATAACACATCACAAAACATCACATCACACCACACTACACTAGCCTTGAGGGAGAGTTAGGATACGCAAGAAGTGATAATGAACCAAGATTTACGAGGAGCCTTTGAATACAATCTGAAAATAGACGAAATGAAGGGAACCCAAGTGAGAGATAAAAGTGTCTAGCTGGAGGGAACCCAAGTGAGAGATAAAAGTGTCTAGGTGGAGGGAACCCAAGTGAGAGATAAAAGTGTCTAGGTGGAGGGAACCCAAGTGAGAGATAAAAGTGTCTAGCTGGAGGGAACCCAAGTGAGAGATAAAAGTGTCTAGCTGGAGGGAACCCAAGTGAGAGATAAAAGTGTCTAGCTGGAGGGAACCCAAGTGAGATGACGACAAAAAGACCGGAGACGGGGATGAAGCAAACAATAGTGAGGGAATAATACATACAGACAGTCGTGGGGAAAAAGATATCAAGATAACACGTGAGTTTGGAGGATGGGGGAAACACGGCACAGGGTATAGGAAACTGGATAGAAAAAGCTTCATTTAAGTACCGCCACAGAAATTATTTTAAGATTAGTCTCTGTTGTGGTTAAAGTCTCAAACAATACCTGGGTTGGGTTCGGTTGGCTGAGGTCAGGTTTGTGTTTACAGTTCCTCGACGTATGTGTTTACAGTTCCTCGACGTATGTGTTTACAGTTCCTCGCCGTAAGTGTTTACAGTTCCTCGACGTTTGTATTTACAGTTCCTCGACGTATGTGTTTACAGTTCCTCGACGTATGTGTTTACAGTTCCTCGACGTTTGTGTTTACAGTTCCTCGAGGTTTGTGTTTACAGTTCCTCGAGGTTTGTGTTTACAGTTCCTCGAGGTTTGTGTTTACAGTTCCTCGACGTTTGTGTTTACAGTTCCTCGACGTATGTGTTTACAGTTCCTCGACGTATGTGTTTACAGTTCCTCGAGAGTGTCACACACCCAAAACATCATTACATTCTCCATGACTTTCTGTATATAACTTTTCTTCACTATGGCCGCTGTAACTTACACTTACAAACGGGAAACAAAAAGAATATATTACGGACGGCTGGTACGTTTTTTCCTGTACGTGTACGGACCAACGGATATAATGAAGTAACTAATGTTTATGATGTATGTAGCTTCTTCAAGAGACTGTAAACACAAACAATAAGAGCTTCTGTAAACACCTCCTTGTACGCAGTAGTTGTGTTGGAGGGTGAGTATGTGTGTGTGTGTGTGTGTGTGTGTGTGTGTGTGTGTGTGTGTGTGTATGAACGGACATAAAATATACAATGGTCACCCACTCACCCAGCTACCTACCAACCCACCTACTGACCCACCAACCCACCTACAGACCCACCAACCCACCAAATCCCCCACCCACCATTGGCTGAGGGATCGTCTTCACAATATCCTCGCCAGAATCGGAAAACGATACTTCTGAAACGAGTATAAAAAAGACACTATAATATCGGGTCTTTTCTGAGATAGATATTTTTTTAATAGGTGTTGGCTACGTTTAGACTGTCCCTCGGGTGCCTTTCCAGAGAGGAGAGGAGAGAAGAGAAGAGAAGAGGGAGAGAAAAGAGAAGAGAGGGGGAAGGAAGGAAGGAAGGAAGGGTACCGACACTCCCAAGGAAATACCCTCGGAAATTTTTTTAATACAGGTATTTTAAATGCCATTGAGGCCAAACCCACATCCTGCAGAGTACCCGCAGTGGACTTGTCATGTGTTCCTTCCCCCCCCCACCCCCCTTTGGTGATGTTCAGTGTAAGTTTGAGTGGAATTACGTGTTTGTTAATTTTAAAGGGAAGATTATATAACCTGTATCGATTATTATATGAAAAAATAACCACCAATAATTCTAATAATAATCACAAAAAATAACAAATAAAAAATAATAATAGAAAATAATTGTGGGAAGGTGAAAATAATATAATTTTAACAGGTAATGTCACTACTTAATAAATACAAATGACACTAAATATTATGACATTTAAAGAGAGGCGAAGTCGAAGCCCGATTCGTTGTCAAGGTTTGAGTGAAAGCTGCCTCATGAGCCAGCTGTCGATGATGTAAATAATGTAAACACAAAAGCCCGCGCAATCTAGATACTGAGATACTGAACGTAAAAGGTCAAGGTTAGAGAGGCGAGTTCTGTTGTTTAGCACGGCTCCCATAGGCCTGGCACTTACATTATCAGGGACCTGCCACACTTTGCCGTAAACAGATGAATTCTCCCCCCCCCCTACACACGCCCTCCTGCCACTATATTTAACATGCCGACATAATCAATGGCCCTTCAGGCACTTGCGTCCTTAATGCACGATCCACGAAGGCAAGCATGAACTCCGCATGGTTACCTGATGGGCGCTGTAAACGCTTTTGCGCTTCGCCTTGCACAGGACACAAGGGGGTGCCCAATAAACTAGCCCTCTCGCGGGACAAATCTGAAATCTGGTGATGATACTCGAAGGAACTATCTATCTACTGTTGTCTATGGAGAGAGAGAGAGAGAGAGAGAGAGAGAGAGAGAGAGAGAGAGAGAGAGAGAGAGAGAGAGAAATATATCGCAAAAATGAAGAAAAAAAAATACAAAATTTAATCAAATCAATATACAGTAATTGCAAAAAAATCACTGGAACTAAATGATGACTAATAACTGTACAGTGAAGGATGTGTCCATGGCGATAACCCACCAGGTACTGAAGGGGGGGTGAAACAAGCCTTGGGTGACCTGGCATCCTGTAAGGGGGCAGGGAAAACCCAGTACCTGCAGAAGGCTAAGAACCACGTGAACAAGACCTTCTCCATAAACACCACAAAAACAACAACTTAACAACACTACCACTAACAACGATACAAAAAATAAGTAGGTCAAGGTATAAAGTATTACAACACCGCTACTTACAAATCTTAAAAGTAGGAAAAGTTATATGCAATTTCCCTTGATCGAGCGCCGGCGGCCACACAGCACAGGCAGGAAAACACAATGTACTATATACTGGGAACAGCAGAATGACGTTGACAGCTAAATGACGCCAGTGCCTAGAGCTGTAAGACTGTGTTAGCTATAATCTCTCTCTCTCTCTCTCTCTCTCTCTCTCTCTCTCTCTCTCTCTCACTCTATCTCTCTTGACTTTTATTCCTCATATTCTTCTCTTCTTCTCTTTCTCTCATTGTAACTTTCATCCTTTCTCTTAATTTCTGTAACTTCTCCAAACTTTCTCCCCTCCCCCATCTGACTCCTCGCTCACTTTCTTCTCGTTAATGTCTCTCATTCTATCTGTTTTTCCATTCTCACTCTCTCTTACCC